GTGAGAGTTATCGGAACTTTCAGACATTCATGACGAACAAACGAAAAGAGAGAAAGAGAGGGAGGGAAGATAAAGTCAGAGGAGGCGAACAGAAACGTAGCTTGACCGAAGAAGGGAACTAAAGAGTTATAAACACAATTTGAAAGAGATCCGAGAACCAAAACTGACAATCCGCCGTGAACTTATCTTCAAAGAAAAGAGAGAAACCGAAGATCAAAGACACGCAAGCCTTCTGCTCTCTGACTATGGCCCCAGACCATACAACCACTCGTTCACATACACCTTCCTTTCCTTGGTAATGGCGATCCCAGCCACCACATACCAACCTCCACACCACAACGATCGTCACCCCGCCAACTCAGTTTGTACATCAGCTTGCCCAGATACCGCAGTCCGTCGCAGTCACCCGTCGCACAGCCTTGCAAAACTACAGTCATCTCGTCAGGACTTTCCGAGTCGTCATGGCAGATGAGTTGAGAGAGAGTTTTTTTATTGCGCTTGCAGATTTTATAGTTGCGAAGAGGGAGATAGAAGATGGGAGGGAATGGGATGGAGGTAGGAAGGAGTGAGGAGAGGGTTCGGGTTAATCGCCCGGGGGAAAGCCATATCGATCCCCGTGAGTATTTTCGCAGCCAATCAGCTTACAACGTGAGGGGAGTATCCTCCTTACATGATGTCACCTGATGGTTTGATTACTCTGAGAGGGGGGGGTCAGTAGGGAGTTTCTGTACGGGGATGAAGGCGGGAAGAGTGAGGGCGTGAAGAGTAGTACAGGGTGGGACCAAGATTGAGACGAAGAAAAGAGGGGGAAAAGCACAAAGGGAGAGGGGATGGAAACAGTTACGGGCTGAGAAAATTAGGCACGAAGAAGGGAGAGGCAAAGATGGCATGGGGATAGCGGGCAGCAGGGGAGGGAAGGGGAGGGGGAGGAGCTTGCATACATGGCGCCGACACAGAAACAAAAAGGCACCAAAACAGTTATGTTCCACCCATTCTAGTTCTGATACTAATTCAAGATTAAGAAATTCAAAAACGATATCCGCGCACGAGAGCAGATGCGGGAAAATTCTATGCCTATTCAGATCCTACTAAAAATTCACAGAGTTTTCAGGGGCGAATTTGGGAGCATTGAATTTCATTTGCGAGAAAGGACACGCCAGCGGAAAGCGCGGTCATAAACCCCGAAATTCACAAGTGCCGTTCAAAAATCCTAGCGCACTCACTAAAGCGCGCGTAAGTCCTGCGTAAATTTCTGGATTGCTGAACGAAAATGGAAAAAAAATTCTCGAAAAAAAAAAAAGAACAAATCTTGAAAAAGTAGGAGGGCCTCATCCGCCATTGATTTCATGCATACCGCAAACAAAAAGGAAGGGTACCCCTAAGCCCGTTAAAGATCAAAAAGTACAGATAACAAAACTCAGGACTTCAGAAGTTCGTTCGGGTACAGAAGCTGGTATGTCACAGGCGTGCTATCCTGACAGGTTTTCGGCCATCTTCGCAACAGAAGCTGGTATGTCACAGGCGTGCTATCCTGACAGGTTTTCGACCATCTGCGCAAGAGGCACCGACCATTACAGACAACATGTTAGACTAGGGTGGCGAGCAGTGCTATGGGCACTGTGGTGGCAGCATTGCGTCCTTGTTCGGGAAGGGGCTCGGGTGGAAGGGCCAGAAGTAACAGAGCAGATCAAACAGCAAGTCCAACTGGAGCTGACAAGGAGGTGGCACTTGTTGAAAGCCCAGCTGGACTTCTTTGCAAGGAACCAGGTGATGACAGCTTTCTGCTCAGACTGGTTGGGGGGACCGCCAGGTGGGTGGATAGCTAATGTAGAATAGAGTGGGGATGAGCCTGACAGGGATCACCAGGACTTGGTGGAGACTAGGGATTTAATTTACCACTTAGTCTTCCGGGATTGGACGACAATTGACCCTGCCTTCCCACTAGGACCCCCGATGGTAACCCAGATCCCTTTCCAGGTCTAACTCTACTACCTTCCTACTGTTTTCCAGATTGCAGTCCGAGCCATGAGCAGACGCGTCCCAGACACGCCCTCCCTCAAAGGGGCCCCTTTCCCTTCACAGCCTTAGTCACGACTACCCTATCCCCCCTCGTCCTGGTGCCCCCACAGGAAGGCAGGCCCCGGCCCCCCTCTGCAGCAGAAGTGGAAGTTTACTTGTAGAAGGAGGACCTGGTGCAATCTTACTGGTCATCACGAGGCAGGTTGACCTATAACGGTTTGGGCAGGAAGGGTAGAGAACTGGGAGCAGGGCATCGGATGTATAGGTCGGGGAGATTAGTGCCAGGGGGCCAGGGGGGGGATATGGACCAGGGAAATGGGAGCCATGTGGTGAAGGGGTATCAGGTCCAAGGAACAGGTTGTTTAGAGACCTCACTCAGTGTCGGAACAGAATGGTTTTAGGCTGATCCCCTTAAGGGTCCGCACAGGACAATTCTTACTACGGGATCTCTGAATTCTCCTTGGTATGGTACCACCGTGGAGTTATTTCCCCAGTTTCCACGATCTCGAATTTAATTGAATTGTCTCCTCAAGGTTTAGGTCCTTGTAGTGGGGAAGCTGGCAGCCACTTGAGGGCTGAAGATGCTGGCCACAACCAACACATATGCTCCAACATGCTCAAGCTCTCATTTTTTCTCAGCAACTGACAGTGTGTAAAAGATTCTGTATAAGGGACGCCGGACTCTACTTCCAGCAGATGCTGCTCCCCAATAGATTCTAACTAACAGGTGGACTGCTAGTGGTGGGGGCTCGTATCACCACCACTAGCAGCCCCAGCTGGTGTTTACAGAAAAACAAAGGAAAAAAAAAGAGACAACTGGGCCTGTGACCGCTGCACAGTTCAGAATTCGCAGAAATAACAGTCCACTACAAGCTTGCGCGAAGACCAGTTAGAAACTGCAAGAAAAGCAGTAAATCATGCGTTTGACGGCCTACCAGCTCAATAATTGGCCTACCAGCTCAATAATTGGCAAAAACGGGAGGTGGCGGTAGTGGTACCGTGGCCTGGCCTGGGAGAAGCTACCGGTAGCAGGTCCGCGCGTTTTTGGCTCATTTCCCTGGGAGTGTGGCCTAGGCATCTCGGCCCTGACCCAGCCACGGGCATGGCCTATACATCTCGGCCGTGGCCCAGCCATGTGCATGGCCTAGACATCTCGGCCATGACCCAGCCATGGGCGTGGCCAAGACATCTCAGCCATGGCCCAGCCACGGGTGTGGCCTAGACAGCTTGGCCGTGGCAAAAGCAGGCGCGGGGAAAAAAAAAGGAAAAGACGCAGGCAAGAAAAAGAAAAAGAGTCCCAGGTGCGAAAAAAAAAAGCCACAGGTGTGGGAAAAAAAAAAACCCACGACCGGACGCCTGATTTTGCCATTTCCGAACTTCCAACGGCTAGAAGTGCACAAAGCTGTTCTGTTTCTGCAGTTTCTAACTGCCCTCGGCCCAGAACTGCAGTGCCCTGTTATTCCTGCGAATTCGGAACTGTGAAGCAGTCAGCCGCGCAGTTATTTCAAAAAAAAAAAGAATAGGTACTGCGGATTATGACTTGGTTCCGTTGGTGGGGAGCTTCACCTGCTGGAAACCAGGTCCAGGGTCCCATGAACAATTACGTATTGAGGATAATGACTAGGACCATTACCCAGCTTCCCTTAGCACAAAGATTGTAATCCTGAACCTTTTTCTCTTAAACCACCACTACCTCCGAGCCTGTTTTTGCCAACCCTGAATTTCACTGCACACCGAGTTTTGCCGAGCCTGGGTCCCATTGTAGAACAGGAAAAAAGCAAAGACGTATGCAGAAGGGATGTGGACGAAGAGAGAGGCGGCGCCGAAGCGCTCAATCCTCGTAACGCACATGCGTTAGCGTTAGGGTTTCCAAGGTGCACAGAGTTCAAACGCCATACCCCGGCGCGTTCAGCACTGGGGAGGCGAGTCACGCAGCGGTCAGCCTCTTTGAGAGGCGGAGCAACAAGTGACAGAGCTTGTCTGGGGCAGGGGCAGGTATGGTGGAGATGTAAGGGAGTGGGGCTTTGTTGAATATTTGTAAGAACATTTCATAGAAAACCTGAACAATACCGAACTACTGTCGAGGCGAAGAGCGCTGCTGGTAGGCGCCCTTCTCATGGAACTACACGGAAGTATCTTTCTCTGACATCTGGCTCTACGGGGCGGGGTGCGGCATAGCTACTGTTACGTGTATATGGCGTACAGCTCATGTTTAGCGTCCCTGGTAGCCTTGGGGCCTCGCTCCACCACTCTCGAAATGTGCAAAACTAGAGTGAATCTTCCACTAGAATGAGGAAAGATACATCGCGATGATTATTGTCTTTTGTGCATTTCCGGAGTAGTGGAGCGACGCCCTTGCAGTCGAGCTTTCCTTATCAAGCCGTTGAGCTGGAAGCATCTACGGTGAGAGAAGTTACATACTTGCAGAGCAGACTCTGAGTTAGGTGGAAGTTCACTCCTTTTTGTCTTTTTCGAAGGGAGAATCTTTCGTTGGTGTGAGGAGATTTTGTCTTTTTTTCCGAACTTTCCTATTGGGGAGGCGAGATAATGGAATGCTAGTGAAGAGTTTCCCGTGTAGCTTGCAGGCAAGCTGTCCATATCAAGCCGTTGGGCTGGGAGCATCTACGGTGAGAGTAGTTACATACCTGCAGAGCGGAGTTGTGTGGAATCCTGTACCTTTTTGTCCCTTTTCGAAGGGAGAATCTTCCGTTGGTGTGAGGAGATTTTGTCTTTTATCCGAGCGTTCCTATCGGGGAGGCGAGATAATTGAAAGCTGGTGGAGAGGTAAGCGGTATAAGCCTCTGCAGATATGGGAACGTGTCGGCCAGCAAATTCCTCAGAAGGAATCACCTCGTGGCGATCAGGGCCGCAGCCGCGCCGCTCAAATCTTCTATCTTCTTGGGGACAAGCATCTACTACAACGCCAAGATCAGCAGTTTGGGGCTTTATGACCGGCGGTCACGTTCTGATTAGGGTTGAATACCAGCCTGAGGGCTGGCAGAGCTCGAAGGCTAGTGTTTGAACCTCTGAGTCAGCCGAGCATGAGAGTTTGAGTCCCGAATAGCCAGTGGTGAAGCTGTCATGGTGGCTGCGGTAACGAACGTGAGAGTCAGCGACAGAGAGGAACAGTCATCAGGAACGGTTCTTCGGAAAAGCCAGGAGCTCTGGCAGATCAAGGATAGGGTGAAGGTGGGATTCAGATGGAGTTCAATGTGAGGTGATTGAACTGTGGGAGTGAATTAAGATGGGTCTGTGTGATAGGGCCAGTGCCAGCTTCAAAAAGGTGATGATGAGGTATTGAGAGCTAATGATGTCGACCTGAGAAATAGACCGGATGACACTCACATTTCAAGGGGTGATAATGATGTTAATGATGATGATGATGATGATGTTAATGATGATGATGATGATGTTGATGATATTGATGATGTTGATGATGATGAGGACGATAATGGTGATATAAATCGTCCGAATCAGATGACTGGGGTTTACGATAATGATGGTGATAATGGATCATTGGGATCGTTGGAATCAGCTCAAAATGATGATGATGATGATGATGATGATGATGATGATGATGATGATGATAGTTGGAATGAGAAGAATGGGGATGAAGAAAGGGGAGATGATAACGCAGGTCTGGGCAGTACAGTCTATTGGGATAAGAAGAAAAGTGAAGACAGGAGAGTGGATTTCAAACCTTCCAACGACACGAAAGGCAGTGAGCACGCAGAGAGCGAAGACAACAGTGTTGAAAAAGCTCGTAACGAGCAAGGGAGGAGGCGGGATTGGAGAATTCCTTGGTGCTGGGAGAGAGAGAGAGAGAGAGAGAGAGAGAGAGAGAGAGAGAGAGAGAGCATTAAATCATCATTCAATGATCATTGAATCATTGTACATCATTGAACAGAGAGATCAACCAACCTTCGCTAAGGGACGCAGATCTCCATGAAAGAATTATTGATAGAAGCAAAGGTAATTGCCAAAAGGATACTAGGCTTGCTCAGGTTATGTTGTTCATTATCTAGGGGCTAGTCTTCAGTTGTCGAGCTAATCGCAGAACATATTGATCCTCAAATTTAAATTGGTTGCTACAAGTCTGGGAACAGATGGTAGTGGGACTACTAGATGGTAGCTCATTTTAGGAGCCTTAGGGCATACTCACACGGGGAACTATATTCCCAAAATCCCAAAAATAAAGGGAAAAGGCCGGTCACACAGATCTACCAAATTCGCAAATTTACTATTCCTGTGCCCATTTGCCAGTGGCCTGGGAAGCCGCCTGGCAAGGGATTTTGCGGTCACCTCTGGAGGTGACCGCAAGTGCCCTATTTCATTTTTCGCATTTTCTTCAAAAACAGGCAAAAATTCGTCCACAAAAGTTCTTGCACAATTTCTGGATGGCAACGTGTGACCAGCCAAGTACCAAATCCCCATTTCTCCTGGGGCATGGTCCCACCAGCAGAGAGGATCGAATCGAATGCCTGAATCTGGACGTGTTTGTCCAGAGGTGCAGGAAATCGAGATTGAACTGGTTTTCTGCATCTCTGCATAAATTCTGATTTGCATTCATTATCACCAAGCAGTCTTGAATATCGTTTGTAACAATTCCTTCAAAGCATTTTTTCATTTTTTTATAACGCGGCACCTTGCAAATATGTTGTGCTGTATCAGGCATTCGATCCGATCCTCGTTGCTAGTGGGACCTAGGCCCAGAGGGCTGCGACCTTGTCCCATCTGAAAAGGTACAGCAGTGTGACCTGAACCATGCCCCAAACCTCAAATAGGCCCTTCCCAAATCTGCATATTTTGCGGATTTGGGGTCCCAGTGTGAGTATGCCCTTAGGGTGATTCAGAAGAGGTCCCTTTTTTCTGCTGATAGCCCAGAGAATTTCTGAACATTGAGAAGTTACCTGGAATTTTTATTTTTATTAAATTTATTTTTATTTTTATTTTTATTTTTATTTTTATTTTTATTTTTATTTTTATTTTTCTTTTTCTTTTTCTTTTTCTTAAAATCCCTCACAGAGAAAGAAAAAATCGAAAAGGTAATTTGAGATCATCTCTGGGGTCTGGTCCACCTAGTACAGCGTTGAGTTTTCTCAACGCTGAGCTTTCTATCACGTTTGGCATGGTGGGACGGAGCTCTGCCATTGATGTATTGCGATCTAATTGTACCTAAATACAGGAGAATAACCTAATAGATTTTGTCATTTCTAGAATATTCCTTTGACGTGAAAATTTAATCCGTTTTGTAGTACGCTTTGGCCCTTTTGGTTTGGGCGGGAAACCATTTTCCATTGAGAAAACTACCCTACCGAGGGTAGGGTACATTTCTCGACTGCGGTGCCTTTGCTTTTTTTTGGTTTTTTTTTTTTTTTTTTTTTTTTAGAGACATCATTGCATCCTGAAACGGAGGAACTCTGACAGTTGTGTTTGGCCTTCTGGCATAGAACTCTTTTCCTTCTTTGGGCAATGAATGCATTTGGCCATCCACGTTGTCCCTGCCCATTTTACAAAGGGTGACCTCCTGTCCCCTCACGGGCCTCACCAGGGGGAGTATCCTTTTTTCACGGAGACATTCACTACGACTGTCCCAGACATGTTTCATTCCTCCGAGTTAAGTTATAAAAAATAAGGAGAAAAGCTGTTTCTAGCTAGGCTACCAGAGTGGCCCCGGGGTCACTTGCCCGGCCGGGCCAAAATATATATATATATATATATATATATATATATATATATA